ATGGAATATACAAGTTGTACCCCCGGCCGTTCTACCCCGGGGCTGAAGACATGTACACAATACAGTAAAATCACAGGTCGATCACCGATTTCTGATCAATTGAAATCAATTAAAAATGTTTTCCTTTCAACTTTTTACCATGCAAAATTAAAATCGATCAATTTGATCATATACCAATAGTAACATATTAAATTAAGTCTCATTTCAGTTCTTATTTCCCATTCCATAAAATCAAATAAAAAAAATTAACGAGATTTCAAAACTGATTAAATAAAAAATGATTTTGTATTTAAATTTTAAGAGACAAACTAAACACATGAACCTTTGCACTAGGGATTCTTAACCACTAATTTTTAATCAGCTCGCCCCATTTGCCGGTTGCACATGCATACAGTGTGTGCTTGTACATATGTACATGTGGAGGAGTTTAATTCTTGGACGATCTACAAACGTCTACATAACATTAAAATAAATGAATAAATAAATAAATTATTAATTAAAATCAGAGCCCACAGATTGAACATATTCAAACCTGATTTCACCTCTTAGTTACTTTTTAAAAGGGATAAAATTTCTAATTTTCGAGCAAATTTTCAAATATTTCGACAAAAAGAGACCAGAAAACTGAACATTTAACAAGATAAATATTATTGTTTTCGAGAAAAAAAGGCCTTAAAAAACAAAATGTTGTCCAAACTCGACCAGTTGACCTAGTGATGGATCTTTTTTAAGATAGCATACTTTTCTTTTTATTTACAGTTTATTTTTCAAGAATATCTTATGCAAAAGTAAAATGCCATTTTTTTTCTTCAGTTAATTTTTTATTATTAATTCTATTTCTATATATTCATTCTATCAATATTTCATTTGATTATTGTCAAAATTTTCACAAAGGTAATAGTAGAAATTGAGATCAGCATAGATACATACAGTCATGTAATTTTGTCACAAGCAGAATATTTAAAGAAATATGAAAATTTCGTCCTGATAATCCAAGTAAAAGAAAGTAATAATTAAAGGTTTTTATAGTCCGCTGTTTTATTTTAAACCAATTACCAGGTTAAAAACAATGACCAGAGTAATTATCAGTAAATCTCAGCATCGACAGTACCTCAACAGTAATTATCAGCAATTCTCAGCAACGACAGTACCTAAACAGTATTTATCAGTATTTATCAGACTCAACAGTAAAAGTCAACAGTAATTATCAGTATTTATCAGAAACAACAAAAAATATCAGCAACAACAGTAATAATAACAGTAAATATCAGTATTTATCAGCAACAACAGCACAGTATCAGTAATTATCAAACTTTATCAGTAAAATTTGGGATTCTCAGCACTTTTTTCGTCCAGTAGTGTAAGAAAGGTCTTGTCACAAAGAATACACATTAGCTCCACTAAATCAAAAGCTATGGGCAGTATTAAAGTTTTTGCGTACACACAGACAAACAGACAGAGAGACACACAAAGAGAGAGAGAGAGAGGGAGAGAGACAGTCAGACAGACAGACAGACAGAGGGACGGACAGGACAAAAACTATAAACCCCCAAAACTTCCTTCACGGGGGCATAAAAATGTTTTAATGACCACATTGTATATGGTCAAGTTATGTGAGATGTGATTAAGCAGATGGTTTAAATATTCGGACGTAAACAATTAACCATAAAACGTGTTGTTTATAATTACCCGGATGTATGCGGTTTACGCCTAAAAACCTCCCATATCCATCCCCATACTAGACCAGAAGCTCTGAACCAGGCTCTACGTCACGCGACGTCATATAGAAGATGATGCTCTCGCACGTGATAGGAACGACATTTTCTTGTTGATATTTGGCGGGAGAATTAACGAATCGTAACTAGTTGCTACAGGCCGGATCTTCTGCATCTATGTTGTAGGTTCCATCGGTCCCTTGTTTATTTACCTTTGAAAACAATAAGATTATAAGGTTAAGAATGAATTTTAGTTCAGAATATGTTAAATATTTTATTCTTGAAGACAATTAGATCCATATCGATCAAAATTACTTTAAGGTAATGAATATTTAGGGATTAAAAGAATCTGAAAAATAAAGCGTTGTGAGAGTGTTGCATTAGCAATATCAGTCCCCTACCGGCAAGTGCAATTCGGTTCCCTTCAGAACTGAAAAGTTTATCAGAAATTATTGAAGTGGATCAAAATAAAAATTTATCTATAACTAATCAAGGTCAAGCAACATACACAAAAGCTAGTAGGATAGATAATCAGGCAGACAGAGAGGAACGAAAGCAGTGGAAACCTTTAGTCCATCTTGTTTCACCGACAGGGAACTAGAAATATGTAACTAAAATATGCAACTTCATTTTGTTTTCATTTTATTTGATTCTCTATATAATTTTACCTGCCATGAATAAAAATCATCTTTCTTGTCTACAGTGTGAATAAGTCCTTAATAAACACCGACGATCGTGAACTTCGTAACAAAGGTCCCATGCGCCCATCCCCGCTCCCGGAAAGGACGAAGATTTAATGGCGAATCCTGGAGGCGTGGTCAGATTATCTCTCTGGTATGGCAAGGAACCTAGAGGAATCTTTCATGTACAAGATAATGTCAATGACGCATAATTTTATGTATAATCTTAAATTAACTGCCAGTATGTTATTAAAATAATGGCAAAGTCAGTGAAATTCTACTGACAGGAAATTACATGGTAGAGGTCTACTTTTAAGGAATCCGTATACACTGCACACAAAAGAGTTCCTGTTGCCGCCCAACAGTGACCTTCGATCTACGGACCAGGGTAACAGACTTGTGATGGTGTTATATGATAGACAACAAGGTGACCTTCGATCTACGGACCAGGGTAACAGACTTGTGATGGTGTTATATGATAGACAACAAGGTGACCTTCGATCTACGGACCAGGGTAACAGACTTGTGATGGTGTTATATGATAGACAACAAGGTGACCTTCGATCTACGGACCAGGGTAACAGACTTGTGATGGTGTTATATGATAGACAACAAGGTGACCTTCGATCTACGGACCAGGGTAGCAGACTTGTGATGATGTTATATGATAGACAACAAGGTGACCTTCGATCTACGGACCAGGGTAACAGACTTGTGATGGTGTTATATGATAGACAACAAGGTGACCTTCGATCTACGGACCAGGGTAACAGACTTGTGATGGTGTTATATGATAGACAACAAGTGACCTTCGATCTACGGACCAGGGTAACAGACTTGTGATGGTGTTATATGATAGACAACAAGGTGACCTTCGATCTACGGACCAGGGTAACAGACTTGTGATGGTGTTATATGATAGACAACAAGGTGACCTTCGATCTACGGACCAGGGTAAGAGACTTGTGATGGTGTTATATGATAGACAACAAGTGACCTTCGATCTACGGACCAGGGTAACAGACTTGTGATGGTGTTATATGATAGACAACAAGGTGACCTTCGATCTACGGACCAGGGTAACAGACTTGTGATGGTGTTATATGATAGACAACAAGGTGACCTTCGATCTACGGACCAGGGTAACAGACTTGTGATGGTGTTATATGATAGACAACAAGGTGACCTTCGATCTACGGACCAGGGTAACAGACTTGTGATGGTGTTATATGATAGACAACAAGGTGACCTTCGATCTACGGACCAGGGTAACAGACTTGTGATGTTGTTATATGATAGACAACAATGTGACCTTCGATCTACGGACCAGGGTAACAGACTTGTGATGGTGTTATATGATAGACAACAAGGTGACCTTCGATCTACGGACCAGGGTAGCAGACTTGTGATGGTGTTATATGATAGACAACAAGGTGACCTTCGATCTACGGACCAGGGTAACAGACTTGTGATGGTGTTATATGATAGACAACAAGGTGACCTTCGATCTACGGACCAGGGTAGCAGACTTGTGATGGTGTTATATGATAGACAACAAGGTGACCTTCGATCTACGGACCAGGGTAACAGACTTGTGATGATGTTATATGATAGACAACAATGTGACCTTCGATCTACGGACCAGGGTAACAGACTTGTGATGGTGTTATATGATAGACAACAAGGTGACCTTCGATCTACGGACCAGGGTAGCAGACTTGTGATGGTGTTATATGATAGACAACAATGTGACCTTCGATCTACGGACCAGGGTAACAGACTTGTGATGGTGTTATATGATAGACAACAAGGTGACCTTCGATCTACGGACCAGGGTAGCAGACTTGTGATGGTGTTATATGATAGACAACAAGGTGACCTTCGATCTACGGACCAGGGTAACAGACTTGTGATGGTGTTATATGATAGACAACAAGGTGACCTTCGATCTACGGACCAGGGTAAGAGACTTGTGATGGTGTTATATGATAGACAACAAGTGACCTTCGATCTACGGACCAGGGTAACAGACTTGTGATGGTGTTATATGATAGACAACAAGGTGACCTTCGATCTACGGACCAGGGTAACAGACTTGTGATGGTGTTATATGATAGACAACAAGGTGACCTTCGATCTACGGACCAGGGTAACAGACTTGTGATGGTGTTATATGATAGACAACAAGTGACCTTCGATCTACGGACCACGGTAACAGACTTGTGATGATGTTATATGATAGACAACAAGGTGACCTTCGATCTACGGACCAGGGTAACAGACTTGTGATGCTGTTATATGATAGACAACAAGGTGACCTTCGATCTACGGACCAGGGTAACAGACTTGTGATGGTGTTATATGATAGACAACAAGGTGACCTTCGATCTACGGACCAGGGTAAGAGACTTGTGATGATGTTATATGATAGACAACAAGGTGACCTTCGATCTACGGACCAGGGTAACAGACTTGTGATGGTGTTATATGATAGACAACAAGGTGACCTTCGATCTACGGACCAGGGTAACAGACTTGTGATGGTGTTATATGATAGACAACAAGTGACCTTCGATCTACGGACCAGGGTAACAGACTTGTGATGATGTTATATGATAGACAACAAGGTGACCTTCGATCTACGGACCAGGGTAACAGACTTGTGATGATGTTATATGATAGACAACAAGGTGACCTTCGATCTACGGACCAGGGTAACAGACTTGTGATGGTGTTATATGATAGACAACAAGGTGACCTTCGATCTACGGACCAGGGTAACAGACTTGTGATGATGTTATATGATAGACAACAAGGTGACCTTCGATCTACGGACCAGGGTAACAGACTTGTGATGATGTTATATGATAGACAACAAGGTGACCTTCGATCTACGGACCAGGGTAAGAGACTTGTGATGATGTTATATGATAGACAACAAGGTGACCTTCGATCTACGGACCAGGGTAAGAGACTTGTGATGATGTTATATGATAGACAACAAGGTGACCTTCGATCTACGGACCAGGGTAACAGACTTGTGATGGTGTTATATGATAGACAACAAGGTGACCTTCGATCTACGGACCAGGGTAACAGACTTGTGATGATGTTATATGATAGACAACAAGGTGACCTTCGATCTACGGACCAGGGTAACAGACTTGTGATGCTGTTATATGATAGACAACAAGGTGACCTTCGATCTACGGACCAGGGTAACAGACTTGTGATGCTGTTATATGATAGACAACAATGTGACCTTCGATCTACGGACCAGGGTAACAGACTTGTGATGGTGTTATATGATAGACAACAAGGTGACCTTCGATCTACGGACCAGGGTAGCAGACTTGTGATGGTGTTATATGATAGACAACAAGGTGACCTTCGATCTACGGACCAGGGTAACAGACTTGTGATGCTGTTATATGATAGACAACAAGGTGACCTTCGATCTACGGACCAGGGTAACAGACTTGTGATGCTGTTATATGATAGACAACAAGGTGACCTTCGATCTACGGACCAGGGTAACAGACTTGTGATGGTGTTATATGATAGACAACAAGGTGACCTTCGATCTACGGACCAGGGTAACAGACTTGTGATGGTGTTATATGATAGACAACAAGGTGACCTTCGATCTACGGACCAGGGTAAGAGACTTGTGATGGTGTTATATGATAGACAACAAGGTGACCTTCGATCTACGGACCAGGGTAGCAGACTTGTGATGGTGTTATATGATAGACAACAATGTGACCTTCGATCTACGGACCAGGGTAACAGACTTGTGATGGTGTTATATGATAGACAACAAGGTGACCTTCGATCTACGGACCAGGGTAGCAGACTTGTGATGGTGTTATATGATAGACAACAAGGTGACCTTCGATATACGGACCAGGGTAACAGACTTGTGATGGTGTTATATGATAGACAACAAGGTGACCTTCGATCTACGGACCAGGGTAACAGACTTGTGATGGTGTTATATGATAGACAACAAGGTGACCGTCAATATACGGACCAGGGTAACAGACTTGTGATGGTGTTATATGATAGACAACAAGGTGACCTTCGATCTACGGACCAGGGTAACAGACTTGTGATGGTGTTATATGATAGACAACAAGGTGACCTTCGATCTACGGACCAGGGTAACAGACTTGTGATGGTGTAATATGATAGACAACAAGTTCCCATCTAACAACGGACCACGGGAACAGACTTGTGATGCTGTTATATGATAGACAACAAGGTGACCTTCGATCTACGGACCAGGGTAACAGACTTGTGATGGTGTTATATGATAGACAACAATGTGACCTTCGATATACGGACCAGGGTAACAGACTTGTGATGCTGTTATATGATAGACAACAAGGTGACCTTCGATATACGGACCAGGGTAAGAGACTTGTGATGGTGTTATATGATAGACAACAAGGTGACCTTCGATCTACGGACCAGGGTAACAGACTTGTGATGGTGTTATATGATAGACAACAAGGTGACCTTCGATCTACGGACCAGGGTAACAGACTTGTGATGGTGTTATATGATAGACAACAAGGTGACCTTCGATCTACGGACCAGGGTAAGAGACTTGTGATGGTGTTATATGATAGACAACAATGTGACCTTCGATCTACGGACCAGGGTAACAGACTTGTGATGGTGTTATATGATAGACAACAAGGTGACCTTCGATCTACGGACCAGGGTAACAGACTTGTGATGGTGTTATATGATAGACAACAAGGTGACCTTCGATATACGGACCAGGTTAGTGTATTTTGTGTGATTTGTTGATGTGTTGTCTGCATAAATATTTAAAATATGATATTATTGGCAATTGTAAAATGTATAGGGTGAAAAAATCTAAACGATGCACTTTTAATTTTGCTGTACATATCTTAGTATTAGGAATGTGTTTATACGTTCTTACATAAGAGACATGGGCTTTATATATGTATATCTGATGTCTCAATTCAAAAGAAATGCCTTTTATCTTATATATCCTTTAAATGACAAAATAAGCGTTGAATCTGAAATATAGTTATATAAAATATATTATATAAAAAATAAGCTTACTAATTTAAAGATATACAAATGTTCAATACAATCTATTTATTCTCAGAAAATTAAGATTTACTACCATCATTCGGTTTAAAAATATGCTTTAATTTCCGAAAACTTCACACTCAGGTTTACACCTATGCAAGAGAAAAAGAAATCGGAATATAAAAAAAAATAGTCGTCATACGAAAACAATAAAGCGACTAATGATAAAACGCTATCCCCTTTCGAAACTAAAATTAGGAACTATTAAAGCTATCAATTTCTAAGAAAGCAAGACAGGAAAGGAAGAGCAACTCCAAAACTACCTTATTGATCTTTTTAAAGAAGTTTCGAAGATAATGAAACTATGGGATTGTACTAGAAAACGCAAGTTAACACAAGTTAGACAATTTGATAGAGTTCTTTTTAATGTAAAAGAGTTTCTGTTAATGTAACAAAGTGTCTGTTTACGTAATAGTGTCCCTGTTCATGTAATAAAGTCTCTGTTAATTTTATAGAATTTAGAGTTTCTGATAATGTAATGGAGTTTCTGTTAATGAAATAGAATTTATTTTTATGTAATAGAGATATTGTTAATGTGATAGAGTTCCTATTTAAGTAATAGAATTTAAAGATTCTATTAATGAAATCGAGTCTGTGATATAGAATATACTAGAATTACTATTAATGTAATGGAGTTAACAGACACTAATAAAACAGGAGCCATATTATGTGTTTTTAATCGATCAATGAAATGCCGCACCTACTCCTAATATTGGGGTTTTATGAAGAGACTTACATTTACATTCGACGACTGACTTCTACATTTTAAGTAATGGAGTTGGTCTATGTATAAATTGTAAAAGTCAGTCGTCGATTGTAAAAGTAAGTCTCTTCATCAAACTCCATTAATAAAACACAATAAAAATCAAACTCTGACAGGCACAGCATTCCGGAATTAACATCCACTAGAGGGCTTTTTTTATACCTTAAGCAAAACTAAAGATCTATTTTCAGTGTAAATATGTGCAAGTAGTGTACCACAAAGATAACAAATTATAGGTTAGATGCATAATAATAAAGATTTCAGTTAACTAGATGAAGTAAAAGGGGTCTTAAAACGGAGCCACGAATCTATGCTTAAATGGAGGCATGCTTTTCTATCGACAGATTAGTAAAGTATTTTTTTTCAAAATGTATCATTTACAAGCTAAAATCTACTATATTAATTTTTTTTCAACAAGAGGTATATATAAATGATTTATTCTATTCATGTAAAATGATTTTCAACGTGAAGCTATTAATATCCGAAACATTTGAGAATGAAGAAACTTAATTTATTATTAATATCAAGATTCTTCCGGAAAAGTTGTAAAAAGTACTTTTTTCTATTCGCAGCTAGGTTACGGACTCCAATATAGATAAATAAGTTTATGCATTGCCTAAGGAAATTGATTATGACGTCACGGTAAAACTGTACAGATGAACTTTTGTTTTCTTTCCTACACTCTTACAAAAATAATTATCATAAATATTCTAAACATAAATGAATGTGTTCCTTATCTTTGTATTATAACACAATTTGAATGTAGAATTAAAGCCACCTTGATCTCGCTGAACTGACTGAGATGACGTCATATAGTAGTTTGACACGCCATTTCTCTGTACTTGAAATAGAGATAAAGCAATTATTGAAGCTTGTAAATATAAAAATCAAAATTAGATAAGCATGATCTTACTAAACTTGAGTCATATTTTCTAATGCATTTATAAATATTTTAAAGTCTTTACAGTTAAACTGAAAACAAATAGGCCTAATATAAAGCAGTAGTTCTGCATATGCATAAACAATCTATAATCACAAGGACAACCCATCGATAACGTTCAATAATATCCGTTTAAATTAGATAAATGTAGCTATTGTTCCTATTATTCAGAAGATGGTGGAAGCCAGTTGTATTCCGAAGTTTTTTCCGTAGATTTCCATTTTTTTTTAAAGTAGACAATGTTAAGGAACAAGGATTAGCAAAAGACTACTAAATTTTATATAATTCTCGGGCGTGCAGATGTTGCTCTCAACAGTCTTCGCGTTCAGGATTTTTTTTTAAATTAAACAACTATCAATTTTATGGTGAACAATTATCCGTATATCGTTGAACGTTTGCGATCCTCATAACCGTTCTCTTCTAATTTTAAATACGCCAGGTGATAAATAGTTGATGTAATTGAAATTGCATTGTTCAAATTCAGTAAGGATTCCATGAATACATATGCTATTAAATTAAACCTCGTGTTAATTGAAATAATATTTGCATATTTAATACAGTTTTTGTAATAATATTTTAAGAGGTGTGGACATTTCTAACCTAGCTGAGTAATTTCGGCAGATAACGTCCCAAGCTGTAGGAGATAGCTTAAGGAAGAAATGAATCTTTAGTACGGTAGTATGAAAACAAATAAAAAAAAATAGAAGACTGAAAACCACATACACATGTCCGTTTTAATACATCTACGGTAATTCTTTTTTCGAGGAATGAGATAGATTGGAGAAGGGAGAAAGAGTTCACTACAAAAACAAAATGTCTGGTATTTCTCGATAGCTCACAATTCATTTACAACGTATAGGTGAATTTTCATCTGGGATTCATTAATTATAAAATAAACATGCTCATTGAAAGAAAAGTTTTATTGTCACAAAAAAGCGTAATGTGTTTTTTATTCCCTAATTCTCCGGAGTTCAAATTGAAATAATATTAGTGATTCTCAACATGAAAACAATCTAGTCTATGCTTTTATACAAAAACATGAAAACAGAACCATCTCACCTGCTTCCTTTCTGTAATGTGAAGATACCTGACTTTATGAGTAATTGTATTTAATAGAAATTACAAAGTACCCTTTTTCTGCATTATTTAAATATCTTTGATTGCTTGCAAATTGCGCACGATCATGAATGGTATTTATACATGAATAAAGTAAATCTAGGGCGAAATATTCGTATATAGAGTTGACAAAAAATGGAATATTTTATCTAAGATATAATATACTAGGCAATGATTTGAATAAAACTGTTTGTCTATTTTTTTTCTTAAGGGGAAGTAAATAATAATCAGCAATGATAAGATTTTATAAAAGTTTATATCTCATAAAATGTGTCTCTAAATATTCCTTGACTCTGACTCACGTTTGGTTAATTGTTAACATAAGATTGTTTTCTTAATAGTCAATTTGGAATATTAATTTTTCTTCTCATTTCTCATACACAGGTGATTTGACATGGCATCCTGAGACATATAATACATCAAGATGGTTCCGATTTAATTAAGTTGCATTCCACCCAACGGCAAGACACATATAATACATCAAGATCATTTATACTTATCTCAATGATCTTTACAAGCTGCAATACTACACCTTGTTTATTCCGACAAATATGTTTGTAATCTGTTCCTCGTGCATGTCGGATAAGACAAGTTTCATTGTAATAAAGATGTTAAGATGTATTTAAAAATTCATAGGTATATTTGATGGTCATATTTTGTGGTACAATACATCTAAGATTATACTTCTCTAAAAACATATTCCCACACAGTATTGTTAATGGATGAGCATTTAATTATCCATTGATCTACTTGAAACTGCTTAAATTGAAATTATTGTTATTTTTAATATCATGGAGAAATAAGCTGAAAAGTTTAAGTGCGGCGTACTGAATATTTCTTTCCATAAATCTACTATACCATAAATATATTTTAGATAGCTTGAATTTTAGGTGTGGCAAGAAACGCAATGATACTAGATCCTCAATGATACTAGATTATGAGCTTAAAGTAAGACGAAATCACATTTTCT